GAAGCCTCAACGTAGGAGGATTGGTGGCGCTATCACGGCACCTCGCGGTGATTCTTGGGGGGGGGGTTCGCATATATATATATATACATGTATATATATATATATACATGTATGTATATATATATAGATACGTATGTATGTATGTATGTATGTATGTATATACATACATATATATATACATACATACATGCATATGTGTGTATAAGCACTTTCATCCTCCGGCGTGCCGCAAACGCTTGCAGTGCAGACTGGCAGCGTGCAGTCCGGGCCCCACGCGTTTCTGAAGCTCGAGGTGACTGTCCAAGGGCTCGAAAGGTGCAAAGGTAGGTGCGGGAATACCCGAAACAGTGGCACCCCACCTATCTTCCTCCCATCTTGTCTTTTGGGGCACCCAATGGCCCAAGACTCATGGAGTTTCAAATCCGACGCCCGTGAGGCTAGAGCCGAAAATTTCATAGCCACGGTGCACATGCTTGTCTCTTGGGTGGGGAATCTAGTGCCTTCAACTCCAAGAATTTCCCTTGCCAACTGTGGCTCTCAGCTACATTGCGGACATTACAACCAGAAGTTTGTCAGTCTATGTGTATGTCTGTGTATGTATCAGTAAAGACAATTAGATTGTTCACGTTCATATGGCTGCTGCAGCCATCTAGAGCTGAATCCTAAAACTCTAAGTGCCAAATGCAGCTACCCGTCCCCGACTTCGCACCGCCTCACAGCGCGCGGCTCGAGTTTTCGGGGCAAATCGAAGTGCTGGGGTGCGATCTTGCCGGCAGTAGGTCTTCTGACGGTCACCCGAGGTCTTCCTGACAAAGCCTCCCCCAGATAATAGTAATAATCGCAATCAAAACACAATAACGCCAAGAATAGTAGACGTAGTCGTAGTAATGGTAGTTGTCGTACTAATAGCAACAGTACTAAACCAACACCAGAGCCATGGCTGCGTGTTCCAGCTCTGGCTTGACCTCGTCTACGTCTGACCGTGAAATGTCGGGCTTACATGTTCGGCCATCTCAGAGCCATCTCGAGCTCCAGGAGTGGATGGCGCGAATCCAGAGCTCTCTTCAAAGCGTTGAAGATTCCGTGCTGAAGCAATCCTTCGCCACGGAAGGCCTTGCGATTTCTGTGCATGAGCTCCTGCAGTTTGGATTTCGAGAAGGCTCTTTGCAAGAGGCAGTACCAGAAGGCGGCAAGATCGTTCGGCCTCCTCGTATTGAGGTGCCGGAGGATGAGCCGACGCCTCTGCCTTGCATCCCATGTGACCTTCCATGCGAGCTCGGCCCAGTGCCCGAAAGGACCGAAGACAGCCAGGATCAGGGAGATGGGTTGACGCCCACCCTCCCCAAGGTGGTGCCTCGCCGGCGAAGCCGGCATAGCAGCGAAGGGGAGGAGCGGGATGAGGTCGAGAAATTCTTGGCCTCTCGTGATCCGCAGTCCACGCAATATGGCATGATGCACGAGCTGGAGGAGCACAATGCCTTCCGGCTCATGCACGTGCGCCGGAATCTGGGTTCTTGTTAAGGAGCTTCGTGTAAGTTACCATAATAAGGAAACCATGTGATTTACTACAGATCCCTACCGGTTCGGCTGTGCTAGTAGTGTCCCCAAGGGCTCTAGCTTTGCAATGATCCCCATTAGCGTAACTTAACTTAAACTCCTAAACCCTAAATCCGAAACCCTAAACTCTAAACCCCTAAACCCTACACCCGAAACCCTAAATCCCTAAACCCGAAACCCTAAACCCCTAAACCCTTAAACCCGAAACCATGCACCTTAACACCCAGGAATGGGCGGGCCCACAGCCACAAGAAGCTGAAGAAATCGAGCTCGCGAGGTTTCGTGGCGGTGCCCGAGCTAAACCCCGATGTGACTGGGCTCTCAAAGACTTTGATTCGGGTTTAGGGTTTAGGGTTTAGAGGGTTTAGGGCTCTTAAAGGAAGTTGTTTTGTGTTGTTAATGCATGGGATCTATCGTACAGAGTATGGTTTTCAGCCATTGATCCCTGCAACTGTTTCATGTGTCGGCTGCTCTGCTTGTTTGATTTTCGTGACTATACTAAGGATCTATTGCAAACAATACGACTTCCTTATTGTTACGGTGACATCAAGCCCACTCCTCAACCCTTAAATCCTAAACCCTAGACCCTGAACCCTAAATCCTAAACCCTAAACCCTGAACCCCTTAAGAAGAACCCCAGGTGAGTCAGGAGCGGGATCCGGATCTGAGTCAGACGGAGGTGCCGGAGACTCCCAAGAAGAGGGCTCCCACCATTACCAGCAACCTTGGTCTGCTTCAGGAACGGTTTAGGGTGTAGGGTTTAGGGTGTAGGGTTTAGGGTGTAGGGTTTAGGGTTTAGGGTTTAGGGTTTAGAGTTTAGGGTTTAGGGTTCAGGGTTTAGTTCAGGGTTTGGGGGTGGGGAACTCCGTTTGCAGTGAGCTTAATGATCCTTCATGGGGGGTGTAGGGCTTAGGGTCGGGGGTTGTATAGCAGACAGCCGTAGTAGGCATGTCTAGTTAAACAGCGGGGCCTCTTTATGATGTTACCAAAACAAGTACCCTAAACCTTGAGCCCTAAACCCTAAACCCTGAACCCTAAACCCTAAACCCTAAACCCTGAACCCTAAACCCTGAACCAGCCCTAAGCCCTCAACCTTCAGGCAGAGTCGGTGGAGAGGACAAGGAGGTGATGCTGAGCAGAGTTCGCCGGGTCTCCTTAGAGGATCTTCGCAACAACTACGATGCAGTGGCTCATCTCAAGCAGATTGAAGCATGTTTAGTTTCCCTCGCAGGTTTTGAAGAGTTCCTGCTCAGGGTTTAGGATGGGAGTCCCGCAGCTTTCCCTGATCCCTAAACCCCCCAAGCCGAATCTCCGAACTCCCAATCCCGCGTGGAAAACATATTATAGACATTATAGAAGCCTTAAAGGTTATAGAGACCCTGAACCAGGTGGTCGTCCACAACAACGGCAAAGCGCGGGGCCCGACACTGACTTTTGAGCTAGGGAAGACATCGGCAATGAACCTGGGTCGCCCTGTGGTACTGTTCTCGATGTTTTGGGACTTAGGCTTTGGGGTGCAGGGTTTAGGGTTTGGGGTGGCTTCAAACTAGGGGCGTAGAGGTCTTAGTCCAGCACACCGATCACAACAAGACGGCGGGCAAGGTGACTCTTTGTTTATGTGAAGGCTGACCACGACAACCTAGGAGCACCGTGGCTCGGCTGCTCCTCTGCGTGACTGGCATTTTGCAATTTCGGATGGGGCCGCTCTGGCGACTCTTTTCCTGGTGCCGAAACGTGTGGGTTCCTGTCTGCCTGTCAGCACTCCTGATCTACTACAATGTGGCGCACCCCAATGCCGACATCTCCTTCTCCACCGCACTCCTCGGCTCCTCTGCCAGCCACAGTTGGATTCCGTTCTGAGATGCTATAGACTTGACTTCAGATGGCACGGTTACGGCGTTTGCCGAAACACGTGAGTGGCAGTTTCAACTTTAGGGCTCTAGGGGTACTGACAGTATCCTCAGCATCACCAGCAACCGCGACAACGACGCTGATATACGGCAGCAGAGTGGCATGTAAAGGACCTACAGCAACCCACAGCTGAACGAGCCACAAGCAATCACAATACTGTAGTGATTTTGAGGGATGAGGGTTTCTCTGGGTTCGAGGCTACAGTACATCAAAACATCTCCACATATACTCAAGTGTATGGATGCACATTTGGGGCTGCTTAGTTTTTGAGTTCTTAATGCCTCCTGCGCTTGCCATATAAGCCCAGCTCCCACGCACCTCTGAAAACGGGGGTCTGTGCGCTCAAGCCAGAACCCAAACTACTTTCAACCCCAAGCCCCGAACCCTGAAGCTGCGACCTTGAATCATGAGGCTTCATCACCTGCCTTTTGCAAACCCCTAAACCCTAAAGCTCTAGACTCAGAGGCTTTATCGCCTGCCTTGACTCGCGCCTAAAGCCTCAACCCTTAAAGCGTGAAACCCCTGAGGCTTTATCGCCTGCCTTTTTC